CTGGTTTCACAGAAGAGGGGCCCGAAAGCTGAAGCCTCTGCCTCCCATTCTACGTCTAAATATGCTATGAACCACAAGTAAACCAGCAGTCTGAGAGCAAAGTGCTTTGTTGGAGTAAAAAGTTACTATAAGGTCTTTAAGGGGCCTAAATATCAAGATTTGAACCCCAGTGAGGCATAAGTGATGAGCACCACTCCATATTCTATATACATGAAAAGTAATTTATGCGTAATAATTTATAGCAATGTCTTTCTTTCTGCTGTCATGGTTCAAAATAAACAGCGCCCCCGGCGGCATCCCGCTGTCACAAATGCGAAAGCTTCACCCATGACCCCGCTGGGTTTCCGTAGCTGTCCTCTCCTGTATTTCTTCCGAAGGAAACAGAGCACGCTAATACAGAAGGGCGGACTAAAACAACACGGAAACTTCACGCAGAAACAACAAAGCTGTCTGTTTTTGCGAGTTAGCAGCTCGGCCGCAGAGCTATTCGTCTGTCCATGCTGCGGCTGCTGTGCCGGAGTTCGGCGGGGAGCCAGACGCTAGTGCGATGGGCACGGAGGTCACAGCGGGGAGGCGGTCTCCTCCTGCACGGCGCTCGGTCTTGCACCTCCAGCCGCCGCTGTCACGGTACCGGTTCGGGTGAAGTTAATGGGCAGCCCGCAGAGAACGGCTCCGGTAACGCACTGTACCGGGATTCAGTGCTTTTGCCCAAGACCGAGTTCCCGATGAAACTGACCGGACAGAAGCTTCTGGACCGAGAACTCCAAATACAACAGGTACAGCAGGCTAACGAAATCTCATTCAAAAATTGTCAAATTCTATTTGTTTTTATGTTGCTTACTAAGTGGCTTTGATAACGTACAACACACGAATAGTTTATACTTTTGTTTAGCATTTAGTCTTTAATTCGGCATGACTGTTCAGGCTCACAGCTATATCATTGTTACTTTTAACTAGTCCTGATTTCAATTTTGAGCTGAAACATGCAGATCATTGCAACGACTAGGCAGTTTAAAGTGCTATTCATGAAATATTAAAGGGATTATTGTAACGTGATTAGCACAAGACATTATAAGAAATTTTACAAAGAAAGTAAAAGAAGAAAATAAAACTATTTTGACTTGAGAAAATTATAAATGAACACAAATGAGTAAAAGTTACAGGAATGGGATTACTAAGCCTGGTCACACGTGATAAAATACTTATATTTTGCCTTCATACATATTGGAAATAGCTCACTCAAGATTTAATAGATATTAATTTTTGTTTTTTGCAGGAGTGTGGTTTTGCAGATTTGTACTCATGGCAGCGGGAGAGGAAGGCCAAGAATAAGTTCTGCCTTCATGATGGACCTCCGTATGCTAATGGGGACCCTCATGTTGGACATGCTCTCAATAAGGTAAATATGAAACCTTTCAGCTTTCTATCATCAAGTCCTCCTCCAATGAAAATTGGTTTGCAAATATAATGTTATACCACAAAACACGTGTAGAATAATGAGTGCATTTTACGAGGAAAACAAAAGCATCTTTGTACATAAGGTCACATCCATCCATTCATTTTCTTTCACTTATCCAATTCAGCATTGTAGTTGAGCTGGAGCCTACCCCAGCTGTCACACCCTGGACAGATCACCTACCTGTTGCAGGGCTAACACCATCTGCCAACCAACCCTGACCCACCTTTAGTCTTTTTAAATCCAAAAATTGTGTCACAGTTCATTATAAAAGTTATACTAGTCCTTTAAACATCAACTGTTAAAGATAACATTTTTGTACTCCAAGGTTTCTCCTGGATGTCTCTGCATAGTAAGAATCCTTTTTGATAATAAGTTTACAACAAAAGTCATCAAATTTATTCTGTTAAAGGAACTCTGTCTGAGCCCAGTTAAAAGGAAATGCATTCCAAAGGAATTTGAGACTGGGAAGGTTAGAGTAACAAGGAAGTAGTATATTTCACCTACTCTTCCTCCTAAAGTGAAAGTTTCCCCAAGTAACAAATTTTTAAGACGGAGCTTTTGGATGCGAACAACGGCGTATTTATTCCTGCCCTCATGATTTGTAAATATTTACTAGCTTCTCAATTATTATTCCATTCAGATCCTGAAGGACATCCGTAACCGTTTTGAGATGCTAAGAGGGCGGCAGGTGCACTACATCCCAGGGTGGGACTGCCACGGCCTCCCCATTGAGCTGAAGGCTCTGGGAGACCTGGGGACGAGCGGCCTTAGTCCTCTGCAGATCAGACAGAAAGGTGAGAAGAAGAAGGAGGAAGTAGAAAGAGGGCTTTTTCTGGTGACTTTTATTCAGATTTTATGCAGCTGCTGTTTGGTTTGTCTCATCCAGCGCGGGAGTTTGCAGAGGGAGCGATAGCCCGCCAGAAAGCTGCATTCCAGCGCTGGGGGGTGATGGCTGATTGGGATCAGTGCTACTACTCTTTTGATGGCACCTACGAGGCTGCTCAGCTAAAAGTCTTCCAAGAGATGCACAGTAAGGTGGGTGATGATCTGATCTAAGCATCAGGCAGTGTCACAGTAGAGTGATGTACTTACAAAGCAAGTTCAGCATGACCAGGCTTTCTTTGTGTCAGCTGGATTAACAGACCCCCAAACCCCAGTCAGAGAACATTTTATTTATTTATTTTTTTTAAATTTGTTTATTTAATTTAAACATCATAATGGGACTCACTGAGATATCTTTAGCTTCCAGTGTATGGTCTAATGTGGTTGTCCCTCTTTGTTCTTCAGGGGCTCATTTACCAGGACTACAAGCCTGTCTTCTGGTCTCCTTCATCCGGGTAATGCAGTTTATTGCAGTTATTACATCTTTGTAATAATTTCTTCTAATCTTGAATCTATTGCTGCAACTTTTACAGAACAGCTCTGGCAGAGGCAGAACTAGAGTACAACCCCGAGCATGTGAGCAGAGCCATCTATGCCACGTTCCCCCTCGTCACGCTTCCACCAAAGATCGCTTTACAAGAAGGTGAAGCACACATGTGGATAAAGCTTTTAGTCATATTTCACCTGGTATGAAATCTCCTGACTGTGTGTGTCTGTGCAGGGATGGAAAGTGTCTCCGTGTTGGTGTGGACCACCCAGCCTTGGACCATTCCTGCTAACCAGGCTGTCTGCTACATGCCAAATGCCCAGTAAGGAGCAGCACCACACACTGGAGACTCGTCCAGCTTGGTCTCATTGCAAAATGTGACAGTCGTGAAAAAGCAAACGATTTGTTTCTGTTTATAAGAAGTCATCATGACTTTATTACCTAAACCTAAGAGATGCGTTTCCATTTCATAACCATAGAGTGTATTTGTTTGTTTGTTTGTTTTAAACCAAACATTGTCTAACCCAGGCACTATTATTATGATGTCAGTAACGTGGATAGTGTGGTGGGGTTTTGAGTGAGTTGTTTTCTGTCTTGCTTGCAGGTATTCTGTGGTGAAGAGAGCGGACAACTCTGAGAAGTTTCTAGTAGCAACTGAGCGGACGGCCAGCATAGCAGCACTGCTGGGCACAGACCTGCAGACTGTAGGCACCTTCACAGGTAACACACAGTGTCTGAAGCATCACCTTACCAGGTGCAGACGTGATACTTCCTGCAGTGGAAATGAGCTTTTAACAAAATTAATCCAGGTTGAATTTTGGGGAAATAAAATTCTTCTCTGTATT